GGGGTCTACAAACTCCATACTAAGCAGAGGTGGGGGAGGGGAGCCTTTCCTGCCTACCAGCAAGCAGCTTACCCACACCCCCACACAGCTGCCAGTCATGGAGGCAGACACCATAGCAGCAACCAATAGGGTAAACGAGGCCTGCTATAAAAAGAGAGAGCTAAGTGAAGATGAGGGAGGTAGAAAGGCCTGGGACAATGAAGGGGCGACACCCCTGCATGAGGCTGCCTCCAGAAACACAGCCAAAGAGACTGAAGGAGATGGCTAGGCCTAACTAGAGGCCAGGGACCAAGAACTGTCCCGACCCAGGCATAGGCGCTGACTTCTGGCGCCGGTGGGTGCTCGACCTCCCTCAGCTCCTGCCCTCTTCTGCCCCCATTCCAACCCCTTCCCCAAAGTCCATGCCCCAACTCCACCCCCTCCCGGCCCCTATTCGATTCCTTCCCCAAATCCCGGCCCCGTCTATTGCCTGCCTCCTCCCCTGAGCATGCCACGCTCTCGTTCCTCCCCACTCCTTCCCAGAACATGCTACAGCTGTTTGGCGGCGGCAAGCGCTGGGAGGGAGAGAGGGAGGAAGGAAGGAACAGAGACGCGGCATGCTCAGGGGAGGAGGTGGAGGTGAGGCAGGAGGGACGGGGCAGGGAGCTTGGCTGCCGATGGGTGCAGAGCACCCACTAATTTTTCCTTGTGGGTGCTCCAGCCAAGGATCGGAGACAGTTGATTTCAAGGGGACAGTTAATTTCTTAGGCTTCTAAATACCTTTGGATCTAGGCCTAAGGCCCTGATCCTGGATTAAGATCCACTGATGGGACACCTGCAGTTGTGCAGAGTACCCCGGCATTTGATGGGTTCAGGCATCATATCCCAGTGCACAAGAGAGGCCTTACTCAGATTACTTGATCTTTCACACAGCAGCGGACGAGAGACAAAAATTTGCAAAATAGGGAAACTTGATTGTAAAATGGCCAAAATTGACACTGGGATAAGAGTGGGCATGGTGCCTGAAACTACTTTAAAATCATTTGGGGGATTGTCTAGATTTCTAGTTGACACTGCCCCATCATCTTATTGGTTTGATTTCATGCAGCACTTCAGAATGCAGCTCCCCTCCTCCCAATCAATTTCATGCTCAGGGTCAGAATGAGCAGGTGAGCAGCAGAGAGTTACTTATAGCAGGAGGCTTTGATCCTTTTGCAAGGGGAGATACAACAGAATGTGTTAGAGTACATCTACAGTAGAAATGCTACAGTTGTACAGGTTCTTCCATTGCTGTAATAAATCCACCTCTCTGAGAGGCAGCAGCTAGGTTGACAGAAGAATTCTTCTATCGACCTAGCACTGTCTACACTGGGGGCTGAAGTTGGCTTAACTACATCTCTCAGGAGTATGAATTTTTCACACCTCTGAGTGACATAGCTAGGTCAATCTAAGTTTTAGGTGTAGACCGGCCCTAACTCTCATTTCCCTCAATCTCATCAGTTTATTTACAGCCAGGGCTGGTGCAACCACTAGGCGAACTAGGCGGTCGCCTACGGCGCCAAGTGATTGGAGGCGTCCAAGATTTTTCCTCCCTCCCGTCCCTTCCCCCACACAGAGTGCGGTGTGACGGATTGGGCGCCTGGCCTGATTTAGCCGCTCCCATAGGTCTCCAGCAGGCAGAGTCCCTCTCCTACTCCCCCCCTCCCCTTGCCTCAGTGTCGCGTCGCCAGCACGCTGCGGGGGAGGGGCTGTGTGCTCCGCAGCCTGTTTGTTTTGGCTCCACGTGGAGCCAGTGGCTGGAGCGGCATGGTGGTAAGGGGAGTCCCAGGGGGACTGTCAGGGGGCGGGGGGAGGGTTGGATGGGTCGGGAATTCAGGGGGAGTCTCTCAGGGGGCGGGGAGTGGTTGGATGGGGCGTGCGAGTTCCGGGGGTCTGTCTGGGGCCGGAGGTGTAGATAAGGGTTGGGGCAGCTAGGGGACAGGTAGGGGGTAGGGTCCTATGGGGGAACATAGGGTGGGGGGTCTCAGGA